GAAAAATTTTTATCAGCTGCTCCTCAGACAAAGGACTACTATGTAGAATATATAAAGAACTTAAAAAAAAATCAGACCCCGCAAATATAAAGACCTAATTCAAAAATGGGCATCTGAAATGAACAGACATTTCTCAAAGAAGTAAAAGCAGCAAATAAACATATGAAAAAAATGTCAACATCACCGGTCATTTGAGAGGTGCAGATGAAAACAACAGGGTGATTCCATTTCCCCCCAGAAAGAATGGCTGCTATCATGAAATCAACCAATAACAAATGCTGGCAGGGTTGTGGGGAGAAAGGAACCCTTCTCCATTGTTGGTGGGAGTGTAGACTGGTGCAACCACTGTGGAAATCAGTATGGAGATACCTCAAAGTACTAGGACTAGAGGTTCCATTTGACCCAGCTATTGCCCTGCTGGGTATCTTCCCAAAAGAATTAAAAGAATTATACCACAGTGATATTTGCGCACCCATGTTTATAGCGGCACAGTTTGTAATAGCAAAAACTTGGAAACAGCCCAACTGCCCATCAACTGGAGACTGGATAAATAAGATGTGTTTTTTGTTTTGTTTTGTTTTGTTTTATAAAATGAAGTACTACTCAGCCGTAAAGAATGAGAAACTAGAGACATTTATAGCTAAATGGATGTGAATTGAGGGCATACTCTTACATGAAATCAATAGGACACACGTGTAAATACTGAATAGATTCTCTGGTGTGAGAAACTGAAAGTGTAAATAAGGATCAAAATGTATAATTGACAATGTGAAATAGGAAGAAAAGTTCTAAAGGGGTAGGGGAAGTGGGAGAGGTAGGGGAAAGGAAAGAAGGGAAAGGAAAAAAATATGAGAAAAGCAAAAAATGGAAATAAAGTCTTTATAAATAGGGAGGGGTGGAGGGGTTGAAGGGAGGGGAGGGGAATGGGGAAAAAATCAGAACCAAGATATATCCTGTAAAAGTACAAGTTCCCAACGATGAATGTAACTGCATTATACACCCAAAATGTACCAATAAACTAAAAAAAGAGAAAGAACTATGTGTCATCATTTACAACTTGACTTTCATGAGATTTCATTTTTTAATTTTAGTTTTTATTCTGAAACATAGGAAAATCCATATTCTCCCATGTTCTTGAATGGTTGTCATCATGTTCTTGAATGGTTGTCATGTGTCAATGAAATTTTAGAATAAAAAATTAGTTCTGGATGTTACATCAGAGGTAAAAATATAAAAGTATACAGCCCCCTGATCTGTATTCTCTGGTGTCTTTTTTTTTTTTTTTTTGAGACAACATCTCCCTTTGTGTTCAGGCTGGCCCTGAACTCACTTTGTAGCCCAGGCTGCCCTTGAACTCATGGTGATCTTCCTGCCTTTGCCTCAAGAATGCTGGGATTACAGGGGTGTGCCACCACACACTGTTTCTCTGGTGTCTCTTACATACTCAGGATAAGGGCTGGTTCCACCTTGTCTCCTGCTGGCTTTAAGGAAGACATTTTTGTGTGCTTCTAGGATTGTCCCACTCACAGTTCGCAGGCATGGGGACCCTCCTGGGGAAACAGCCACTGGCCAAGTTGCTCTCTTGAGGATTACAATTGTGGTACCATCAATTGGCATGTTTAGCGGAGGGTGACTGCTCTGTATCTTTGGCTTATGAGAGCCACCTATCTTAGAAGAGTGGCTTTGCTGGCCCCAAACACACTGGCAGTGTCCGTAGAGCCTGTGAATCTCCTTATCTCCCAAGAGATGCCAGTAACTGCTGCCCTGAGACAGAGTATTTGGCTATCAGAATGAAGGGTTTTCCTTGAGACTCTTTCATTTCTTTGCTACTGAGCCATTATTGGTTGTGAACCTTCACTGAGAGGCTGGTCTTTCTTCTGTGATGAAGGATGGTTATTGCTGTGTCAAAGAAGGGAGGATTGTCACCGTGGCCCTGGTCTTTCTAGTTTCCTACAGCTCTATAGATGATCATCCTGTCCCTTAGGGGTTTTCTGTGTATTCCCAGTGAAAGATACCACAGCACTGTCCTGGTAACTGATATTAGGCCCTCAAACAGGTCAGAAAAATATCTGGGTTTATTAATGACAAATAAAAACTCTGATTCTTAGGTGAAGCTGAATTGTAAGTCACAGTGTCCCAGAATTTTGCACTTTGTGGAAAATGTCATAGGAATGCTAGTTGTTGTTAAATAAAAACATTAACAACACATTGCTGTCTTGAATCCTGTCACAAAAAAGAAAGAAAAGCCCATACTGCTGCATCAAAAAGACATTATTAAATTGAACAGCTTTGGCTTTGTGATTCTTACTTTTCTTAGTTCACTGAAGATAGGTGAAAACTTGGAAGCCTGTTCTGGTCACTGCCTGAATTTGGCAACCATGTTCTATGAAGCTTATTAATGTAATTGAGGTACCCTTGAAGGTCTTCTTTCAAGTCCTTTAATTTGAAAGGACTGAAGGTCACAGCTATGGTATCACCACCTCCTTCTCCCTCTACTTATGTGTGTCTTCATATTTTTGAATAGTTATTCATCTTGTATTGTCCTCTAATGCTTTCACGTATGGATGACTGTCTGTTCCAATTAGATTGTAATGCTAGGTAAATAGAAGATACTGATAACATCATTTGAATTAATTTCTATAATTCATATTGGTGTGCGGCATAGAGGAAGGTAGTTTGTTCACACATTTGAGTATATGTGTATACTTGTATATTTTAGAAATCTGCCAGAATTGTCAATTTACGTAGGTACATAAATGAAAGGTGTACATTTTTTAAGAATTAAAAGAGTTTTATAAAGCATGAAAACAAATGTTTGAGTCCTGTCTCCTGCTTCGTCTCTATTTCCTAAGGAGGTTAGGAAGATTATGTTATATGTTGAGTAGACGTGGCCCTGCATTTCAGGCATCTTTACAATCTGTCATCATTTTTGATGATTTAGTAATAATGTAGAGTGTAGCAAGGTACTTTAGGTTCTCCCACAAAATATCAGAATTGTTTTTTATTTTAATATACTTTTTAAAACTTATAAATCATAAAATGTTTCTCAGAGTGACAGCTGAGCTTCAATATTTATAACTTTCTGATTACTCTGGCAGTTAGGAAAAAAATTAAAATGAGTCTTCAAGAAAATTTAAGTGGAAAAGATTAAAATTCAGAATTATGGACTTTTTTCATTTGAATGAACAGCCGTTTTTTTTTTTCTTCTTGGAAGTTTTATGTGCCAGCCCTAGTTTCCTATATTTGACAGTTCTTGAAAAAGTACTTCCACTTCTCTCTCAAAAATATATGAACACTTTTATTTTTTGAACATAAACCCTTTTGTATCAACACAACCTTCCTTGCCCATCTTTTACACACTCCTTTTGACTATAAACTAAACGTATGCACCATCCATCCTTCAAAAGGAGGAGTCATTCTGGGCCTCAAGCTGGGAAGCATATGAGTGAATGAAGTGGATAAATGATGGAATATCTTCGTTGTTAGGATATTTTAAACTGCTATGATCTATGATGTCTACATGGCTGATTTGTGCTCAAAACTGTTTAATCTTCAACCTTATGTTTCTGATTTATATATACATTATGTTTTATGAATAAATTAAATTGTATTTCCATATCAAAAATGCAGTTCTTTAATCACTTAAAATTTGGTGGTTGGTTTCTTTTCTTCAAATACTATATTTTTATAACTACTTGGCAGAACATGTCCAGTATTTTGAGGGAAGAGAGGATAATATGACTATTTCCCTTCAAGAAGTGTGTAATATAACTTCATTCTATACATTTTTACTGCTGTAAAAAAGATTATGGGCGTTGCTAAAGAAAAAATGGACATTGTTGGAAATATCATAGAGGGAATAAGAAAGATTCTTCCCTAAAAGAATCACTATGAATAAAAATTTTTATTATATTTCATTAAAATTTTTATATTTTATTAACAGCCTGAATTTATATCAGTTTTTCTGGTTAATTAATTCCTCCCACAAATATCCAAGTGACCACCAAACACTGTTTTAGGTACTTGAAATATAGCAGCCTGTATCACAGACAAAAAGCTTAGCCATTATGGGACTGGTATTCTAATGAATCCTGATGACTAGTTTATTATTATTTTTCTTGAGCTTATTGAGCTTTATATAAAAGATCCAAGTAACATATATTGCAGCCTTACTAATCAATGAACAGAAATGAATAATTCATGATGAGATTCCCGTGCAAAGGGATGTGGTAAAACACCCCTTAGGCTGGGCATTGGTGCAGTGGCAGGTATATATTATGGTGAAGAGAACTGACCCCGCCATTAATAAAGTAACCCGGAAAACAGAAATTTCCAGGATTGTTTGGTGAAAGTATTGTGACTATATCCTTTTAAATTTGCATGAAAACATTCTGAAAGTCAGAACACAAAATCATCTTTGCATTTGGTCTATAAGAATGTTTTATTCAAAACTGATTAAAAAATCTAGACTTGGTAAAGTTTGGAATTTTGAGGATGGAGTAATTTTCAACAGGGCTGGCTCTTGCTACAAAAGAGAAGCAGCTAGTTTGGGCCCCCACCTCCTAGTTTTTCCTGTCTGCATCTGATTAATTATGTATCCTGTTACATTCCATGCTGGGGCAAAAGAACTGGTCATTCATTCTGTTGACCTGGGGTTACACTCCTACCCTGCTCATCGTCATTCATGTGAACCGGAATTAATCTGCTCACTAAGCATCCTCTTTCTCCTCCACAAAATAAAGATGATACCAACTTAAGAAGATAATGTAAAGAATAAATATAATATATGTGGCACTGCTTTGAAACAATGAATATCAAGAATTAGTGTAACAGTCAAAAGTTCCTTAAGCAGTGGGAATTAAACTCTGAGAATCATATGAACTCTCTATACACCAACGTTTCTGTCAGGGCTTAGCTTTGATGATACCTTGTGTGAGGCAGGTTAATCTGCCTACAGAAGTCACCTGAGGCTCAGCCAGTTCTGATGCCCAGTTACTCACTCTTGCCAGGCTGGTCCCAGATGGAACTTTATAAGGGACGTACTTCCTGTAGATGTGACCAACTCTAGAACACGGGACGTCAAACATTTCTCCTCCACACATCCAAACCTAAAGAGGGGAAAACATAATAAATACATAAATAATGATTAAAATGAACAATTGATAATGTGAAATAGGAAGAAAAGGTCCAAAGGGTAGGGGAAAGGAAAGAAAGGAAAGGAAAAAATGGAAACAAAGCCTTTGTAAATAGAGAAGGGTGGAGGAGGTGAAGGGAGGACAGGAAATGGGGAAAAAATAGGAACCAAGATACATCATGTAAAGGTACAAGTACCCAATGATAAATGTAAATGTATTGTATACCTAAAATGTACCAATAAAAGAATTTAAGGGAAAAAAGAAGATAATGCATATGATTTAAATACAAAAAAAAGAGAATAGTGAATTTCACATAAAAAAGGAATCATTATCAAAATTCATAAAACATTTAAAAATCTCTCAGTCTCTGAATAATTTGTGATTAAAGTTGCTAACCAAGATAAAAAAATTTCACATCTTAAAACTTAGATTCATAAACACATAGAACCAAAATATTAGTTTACTATCATTTGCCTAAATACTATGTTGGCTTTTTTTATTCTGATAGATTTTTTTAATTACAAATAATGTATTGAACCAGTATTTAATGCTTAGTACGTCATTTTATATAGATACTTTTTTATAATATTGTGAAATCATTTGAAGATATAACATTGGAATTTAAAATGTCAATTAAAATTTTAAATATAAAAAGTATAATTTCTAAAACGTGACTGAATTAAGAAATATAAACACACCCCTGCTTTCAGTTAAATATAGATTATGAAACTTGCATTAGGCCTAACCTTAAACATCACAATTACATTCTCAAGTCTCTCCACTTCCAATCTTTTCTTAGGTACAAATAAAATTGGTTGGTGATGTGGACTCAGGAAATAGTAAATCAAGGTATGTGTTAAGATGCTGTACTTAAATATAGTAACAAAAATGAATTGGTTATATTTTACCACAACTATCCCTTCAGATAGACACACAACTGTATAACAGATTATGGTTCTATAAAGGCTAAGTATTAATACATACGTATTGGCTTCATGTAGGCTATTATTTTCTTGGCAAGAAAGAAAATTTTAAAGGGAGATACTATGATGGTTAATTTTTTTTTTTGTACCAGGGATCAAACTCAGGACCTTGTGTTTGTGAGGTAGGCAGTGGCACCACTGAGCTAAATCCAAGGCCCTGTGATGGTTAATTTTATGTGTCAACCTGACTGAGTCACGGTGACTGGTTATTTGGCCAAAACATTACTCTGGCTGTTTTTGTGAATGTTTCATTTTGGATTAGATTGACTCTTTAAAAAAAAAAATTCATTTGCTTATAATACTTGTTTGTAGTGCATGCAGTTTACAATCATCTTGGGGGGTAGGTACATGTACATAGCACAATTTGTTTCTTTTTAAAAATCCCCTTCCAGGCAGGGGATTTAGCTCAGTGGTTCCGCTGCCTGCTTTGCAAGTGCAAGGTCCCGAGTTCAATTCCCGGTACCAAAAAACAAACAAAAAAATCCCCTTCCACTTTCCTCCCCCTCCTTCTCTCCTCTTCTAGTCCCTTTTCCCAATTTTTATTCTTGTTGATTATATTAGTCTTAACACATATTTATGGCATACAGTGTTTATATCCATTGAAGTTATTAGGTTCCTGTACATGGCATATCTTCATTCTACTTATTTCCCCTTTCCCTCCCCTTCATCCTTTGCCCTTCATCTATTGGACCCTTCCCATTTTCAGGAAAGCCACCCCTTCTCCTTCTATCCATCCTTTAATAATCTCTTTGTACTTTGCCTCACTCAAATGAGAGATACCATATGAGAGATACCATATTTAGACCAGTGTGTCTGGTTTATTTCACTCAACATTATATTTTCTAGGTGCACCCATTTTCCTACAAAAGTCTCAAATTTGTCCTTCTTTATAGCTGTGCATATACCATTATGTATAGATACAACATTTTCACTATCCAGTCTTCTGTTTATGGGTATACAGGCTGCTTCCAGGATTTAGCAATTATGAATTGTGCTGCTATAAACATTGGTATGCATGTACCACTGTAGTAGGATGTCTGAAGCTCTTCGGGGAAGATGCCTAAGAGGGGGATAGCTGGGTCAAATGAGATTTCTAACTTTGGTTCTTTGGGACATCTCCATACTGTTAAAATCAGTGAACACTGAGCAAGGTGCATTACCCTCCCATGATGTGGTTCGGCTTTGTCCAGCCAGGTGAGGGTGTTAACAGAACCAAGGCTGACCTCCACTGAGCATGAAGGAATTCTGGCAGCAGACTACTTTTGGACTTGAACTGTACTTTTCCCTGTGTCTCTCTCTAGCCTGCTAGCTTACTCTGGAAATTTTTTACTTCCAAGTCTCCACAACCATGGGAGCCCATGAGTATTTCCTAAAGCAAATCTCTTTCTCCTTTTAGTTTTATTTCTTTAGAACCTTACTACAGATATATAGCTTGTTTTAAAGTGTAATATTGAGAAAGACAAAGTGAAATGTTACATTTTTCTCCAATTCCTTTCACTAAGAAGAATAACATCTCAAATGAGACTGGTTGAAAAAAACAGTGATTAAGGTCAGTGGAAGTGCAAGGGGAAGCATGAAATTATTAAAACACTGCTCAGTTGCTTTAAACCAGTCAGGACTACTCACAGTGTTAAATGCAAACGAATAGGATATTTATTAATGATACATCAGAAATGTACGAAGAAGATACAGAGCTGATAGGGGCAGTGAACATTCTACACTGTAGCTTCTATAGCTGGAAAGACATAAGATTAAATATTAAACACAAAAAGGGTAAGCGTAGCATGCTGTCCCAGGGTCTTTTTAAAAATGGCTAACTGTTCTAGAGCAGGAGATATTGGAAAAAACTGAATAGCACAAAATACACACCACAAGCATAATATAGATAGTTTAGGCGTCAAGGGCCTCTGTCTATCTGGAGGCCTGAAGGCTTTTGCTAACTTCTGGGTAAATGTTTTATATACCATTATTAAAGGAATTTCCAAAGTGGGAAAGGAGAAATATTGAAAAAATTGAAGATATGCAATCTTAATAAGATAAAATTCCAAGAAACACTTTTCAAATATTTGAAGAGCTTAGTATTTGGAAGAGATGTTTTCTAGAATCTCAAGAAGATTGTGTCAGGACTTATACCATAGAACTATAAGGGGATACATTTTAACCTAGTAGAAGAAAGAAATTTCTACTAGAACAGTTAAATATGAAGTAGACTTCCTGTACCGCTAGATGTGTTGAAATCTATAGTAGATGACTGTGGGGGTAAGCACATAACTTGATGAATATTTGATCTGGCTGATATTTTAAAGCAATTCTATTAATAAGAAGTGGAATTATGATATGAATGTTTATTGTGACAATTTCATGGATTATTTTATTTAATGACAGATTTATTCCCTCAATTATATGGACAGAAAAATGGTTACCTACAGAACAGAGATTTGAAATCTAGTAGTCTAAATTTAGTGCTCTTGTGCTTAATCAATATACTATCTGTAGAGTTAGCAAGCTTGCTATGTAAAGGACAAGATAGTGAGTACTTTTGTCTTTGTAGGCCATATGGTCTCTTTTGCAGCTAAACAACTCTGCTAACAAATAGGCCTGTTTGCAAAAACATGTAGTGGGCTGGACTTTGCTGACTGTCTTCCTGTAAGGCACAAAGTACTTTCAAACATTGATATTTAGTGAATGTAAAGTAAGAACTGGTAGGGGCAGTGAACATTTTACACTATAGCATCTACATCTGAAAAGATATGAGTTCAAAAAATCTGTTATGTAAGGGACTGTATTTAAAAAACATTGGATACTGGAGTACACAGGTGATTGAAAAATACAGTGAAAATTTAAATTAAAAAATTGTTACAGTAAAAGACACATTGCTAATAATCCCCCTCAGAATATGCCCTCTCACTTTGACCACACTTATCCCATCATTCTTGCCACTTTCTGAAGCAGCTCTGGATGTCCTCACCTGTGTCTATGAGACATGACAAAAAATTATGGTGAATGTTGCTGCCCAGAGCCATCCAGTGGCAAGGCCAACTCGTCAAAACATTACAGCGTGCCCTCGTCCATCTTATTCGCTGGAGCTAGCACTGTGCCACTTCTTGCTCTTCCTCAGAGTCAAAATGACCACAAAAGGTTATCATTTTGAATCAGCTGAAGACTGCAAGGGAGCCACAACAGCACTACTAAGGTCACTCATGAAAAGGGTCACTATAACATAGATTTTAAAAAATGATTTCTGTATCAGGTTCTCATTGGTGTGTAATATAGATATCCACAAACATAGTGCATTAATAGAATTCACATTTATTATCTCATGGTTCTGTAGATCACCAGTGGGCTCATCTGGGTTCCCTACCTAGAATTTTACAAGGCTGAAGTCTACATGTCTGCTGAGCTGAGTTCTTATTTGAAACCTCTGTGGAATCCTCTGCTTCTGAGATAGTTTAGAGTGCTGGCAGAATTTAGTTGTGAGCAGTTGTAGGATTGAGATCCTCATTTTCTTGCTAACTACTGACCATGGACCACGCTTAGCTATTAGAAACCATTTCAGTTATTTGCTCCTGGACCCTCCATCTCAGCAAAGGCTAACCACCTTTGGTCACGTCAAGGTCACTATGTTCATTTCCCCTTCTTTTTTGGTACCTGGGATAGAATTCAGAACCTTGCACTTGTGAGGCAGGTTGCGGAACCACTGAGCTAAATCCCCGGCCCTACCCAGCCTCTCTTGACATGTAATGTAAACCAAGGAAGCAAACCAAGGAAGAGTATCATCTTAGAATTTTGCGTACCATTTCTAATGCATCAAAATTCATGCCTTCTGTCAATAACCTACTCCTAATGCTTGCAATTCTTCCCCACAGAAAATTTTCTTTGTAGCTAAATGAAATTCAGGAAACTTCTACCCAGATTTTTAAAATGTTAAATGTAACGTTGAGAAAACTGTAGAATCCTAGGATTTATTTTTTCTTCATACTGTCCCTATGT